TAGATCCATCCATCCATCCACACATCCATCCATCCATACGTGGATCTATACATTGATCCATCCATCCATACATACATACATACATGCATACATACATACATGCATGCATACATGCATTCATTCATGCATACATACATACATGGATGTAAACATAGATCTATGCATCCATACATAGATCCATGCTGATTCTCATTCCAGCCACTTCACACTCAACTGTGAACCGCTCCAATGAGAGCTGAAGATCATGGAACGATGACGCCAACAGGACCACATCATCTGCAAAAAGCAGAGATGAATCCTGAGACCACAGAACCGGACTCCCTCCACCCCCTGGCTGCACCGAGAAATTCTATCCATAAAAGTTATGAACAGAATCAGTGACAACGGGCAGCCCTGGTGGTCCAACTCCCACCCTGAAGGTGTCCGTCTTACTGCCGGCAATTGGAACCAAACTCTCACACTGCTTGTATATGGACTGAACAGGCCATAGTAATGGGCAACAATCACAAATATTAACACAAAAAAGAGCATAACTAAACCCACAATAGTAAATAACAAACAGATAAAACACAGATCCAGACACCAAAGTCCATGCTCAATAATCCAGATCCACAGATCCAGACACTTCTGGGATAAGTCTGTCTGGAATTTGAGCATGCATCTTGGCAGAATTAGTAGAGTAAAGTTACATTTTTTTTTATTCAGAGATTCAGAAAGAGAGAGATTCAGAGATTCTTTATTGTCATTTGCACCACATGTGGTACATGTGGCGGAACGGAATAATGTGCACAGGGTCCCAGTTACACCCAACAATAAAATGTAAAAGAAAAACAGTAATAAGATCTAACAATGAACTAAAACTATGAACTAAGAAAAACATCAACTACAAATACACTAAGCACTAATAGCATAAAAACCATAAACACAATACGCCAAACAGCAGCACAAACATGAGTCTGTGTCTTTTGGTTACCTGGCTTTTAATCATAGTTCCCAAAATTTAAATGGTTGATGTCGGGACTTTGGAAAAGTAATTTCAGAAGCTTAATGTTAGCATGATTCATATAATCAGAAAACATTTCAACCAACTGTTGATTTGAGGTAAAGTTGAACAATATGGTGGTAGTTCACCATTATTAGTCCATCCACTTAGTTTAACGCACCAGTACCACAGCATGATGCTACCACCACCACACTCGGTAGTTATGCACTGTGGTTTGGTTTGAAAGCCTAACCTTGACTCCTTCAATCACACACAATGTCATTGGGATCAAATAAATCCACCATGCTGTCTGACCATAAACCTTTCTCTGGAAGACATTTGGCTTGTCCATGTAGGCAGCAGTGAATTTCATTCAATCTTGAAGTGTCTCTTTTGGAATGCTGACTTCTTTCTTGGTTAGCACTCTGTCAGCCCATGATGATGTTGAATTGCCTTCACTGGGAACAGAAAGATTCCAGCAGTTTCTAGTTCATGGCAGGATTGAGCCGTGGTGGGTCTTGAACATCTTAACTCACTTCCTCTCATTTGAGGAGATAGAGGTGAACTGATCAAGTCAAGTCAAGTCAACTTTATTTATAGAGCACATTTAAAACAGAACTTGTTATTAAAGTGCTTAACAACAACAACAACAACAACAACAACAACAACAACAATCAATGAGAGTAAAATTAAAGAGAAAAAAATACAATACACTAATAATAATAACTGAAGAATTAATAAAAAGCATTTAAAACACGGGGTCACAGATTAAAAAAACACTAGATCAATTTACACTGTATGAAATGCCTGAGAGAACAGATGAGTTTTTTAGCAGAGATTTGAAGTGAGGAAGAGAGGTGGCCTGCCTGATGTTGGGGGGCAGGTTGAAGGGAGGTGGTCTGTCTGATGTTGGGGGGCAGGTTGAAGGGAGGTGTCCTGCCTGATGTTGGGGGGCAGGTTGAAGGGAGGTGTCCTGTCTGATGTTGGGGGGCAGGTTGAAGGGAGGTGTCCTGTCTGATGTTGGGGGGCAGGTTG